ATTTATGCATTTCTTTTTATATATTATAACTTTTAGTAAAATAAATCTTTGAAATCTTACCATTTCTTCATCATTTTCTATAACAAGTAGATTAGATTTCTTAGAAGCACAGGCCATCTGGCTCTCAGGCCAGTTTTTCTTTTCAGTACTAATGTAATAGCAATGGTTGGAATAGGAAACCCAATCCTCCATGGAACCATGACAATGATATGCTGAAAAAGATAAGGAATTTACATCATGAGACGATTTGAATGAAAATATAAACCGATATATTTGCATATACCTATGCATACATAGTGTACAGTTGTACTGTCACAAAGCTACATAAAAAAACAAACAGTGCACACAGAAAAGTGTCAGCCTCCCACTTATTTATGTGCCACTAATCAGTCCACGCTATTTATAAATGTCCTGAAAATCACTGAAGAATTCTATATTAGAATAGTTAAGCTATTTATCTTCTATCATGCTACTGTTGTTTCTTGTTAGGTGTTAAGGATCCAATTTTCAACTCATTGCGACCCCATGTGACACAGCTTAACTTTCTCAGCAGATTCTATAGGCTGTAATCTTCATGGAGTAGCAGAAAATCCCAATCAACTCAAAGGAAAATATAATAGTTAAACAGAAAATTCTTCTAAATTTTGAACAAGAATGCCCTCTTAGGATTTCTATTTATGAAAATGTATTCTTTTATATTAGATAGTTATTAAAGTAATTATTATTTATTTATGGCCTAAAATAGAGGCAAAGTATAATCTATCAGAACTTTTAAAATTGTTTTACGCATGACAATTAATAAATTATTAAAATTACTTGGAAAATATTTTATTAACCCAAAAGATTACCATCATATAATGTTAAACTATTAGAACATTAAAAGTATTTCATACCTTTCTGGGTACTGTTCTTTTCCAATATTCCAACAGCTACAAAGATTAAAGTAATTCCCAAAGAGGTTAGTATTTTTGTAATAAATTATAATTTTAGTTCCTGCTTTATTACTGTATATCATAACTGTGTGAGTTAAAATTATTTCAACAATAAAAATAGATAAAGTGATAAACTTATTTGGATAAAATTTTGAAAAGCCTATTAGGCAAATTTTACCGTCTCTTATAATATTAAACACTTTTAAAAGTTAATTTTTATTTCTCAGTAAAAGTTTTCACTTTCTCAATGAAAGCTTTTGACATGTGACAAACATGTACACATATATGCATGCACACACATATAGCAAACATTTAGAATTTATAACAAGTACTCTCCACAATCATTCTGCTGTTTAACACTTTTGAAAATTTCAGAATAACTTTTCTATATTTAGTCCATATTGAAGAGTTATTAATTATTTGACACTTTTGAAAGACGTGGCAAATATATGACATAAATGCATACTTTTAAATGAGGTTCTATTCTCTAATATAAGGAAATATCTGGAGGCATCTTCAAAGATTTAAAAAAAATATTCCCTTATAATATTTCAGAAGCTGACAAGGAGCATTGATTTTCACGGCTATTACACTGGTATCAAGACAGTGCAGATAATGACCATGATTCCAGTTGTAAGTTCTCTGATGGCGATGGGGGATACACAGAAAGAGAAAGGGAAATACTGAGAAAGGACAGATGACATGTAAGATTACCATGAGTGGAAATAACCTAATAACAGCATTAGATCTAGTAATAACATTAGCTGCTCTGAAGGTCACTAACTTTTTGTTTTTAAATTGGGGGAAGTGTATCATTGGAGACTAACATATTGTTGTAAGAATAATAGTCTGTGTATTCCTCACCTAGGTTCTACCAATAGCAACATTCGTCAGAAGAACAGAATATTATTAAAAATGGAGCTTAAAGAAAGCTTGTGAACAAGAGATCTGAGATACACAGGGCACTGTATACATATATTTGGACATTGAACCCACATTCTTCATGATAAACTTTATATCAGAATATATCATTTTGTTATTAGTAAAATGATAGCGGAAACCTTGTTTATGGCAACATAAAAATTCCTGAATAGAACTAATCAAATATGAAAGCTATTGTATACATTTCCTTAATTTGAATATCCTTCCTTGCTCCAAGGCTATTTTTTACTCTCTCCTTACATTTTTGCATGTGAACTACAATCCTTAATGCAGTTATGAGACTTCATTAGATATTTTACTCTTGTAATGGAAATTCTTCTTATTCTATTGAAAATCTTGAAAAGTATTATGAAGATTTAAATCCACATATTTTATTTCCTGCTCAGCGATTGAAATGGAGCTATTAGCATCCTTAGGGTTTTTTTTTTTCTCTGCATTTTTGAACTCTTGGTCAGATTCAGTTCTGAGTATAATACTGTTTGATTATTCAAACAGTGGTGAGCAGTGCCAAATTCTGTGCTCTACCATGAACTCTACCTAAGAAGGAAATAAAGGTCTATATCACAATATCAAAGCAGATGGGAAGGCAGGGTAAGAATCAGTGCTTAGATGGCAGCTCAGAATCTAAAGTACTGGTTCTAATTTTGGGGGGGAGTTTTATATAAATGTCTCATGGTGGGAAAAATAATTTT